TCTAATTACAAAGAATTTTTATCATTATATTCTGTTTTTACTTTTCACACTGGAATTTTTTTTTGTCCTGTTACAGGGTAACATCTGTGCTATTAAAACTGTCAACAAAAAACAAATCGTTCTGAGCAGAGCTGTACGTACTGAACTAAAACTTGTAAGTATGAAAGATTGCTTTTGTATATGAATAATTATTTTAATTTTTAGTAAAATACTATATTGGTATGTAAGATGAAATCGCATGTTTTTGATAGAGTCCCATGCAACATATTACAAATCACATCTACTTCCCCAAAACTGATACTTTAACTACTGATGTATACCTAGATCTGTCAGATTTTTAGCTCCGCTGTCGACTTTGTCAAGCAGAGCTTATCATATGAGTGATTGTCATACGAGTCGTCCGTCTTCCGTTTCAATGTTTTACATTTTCAACTTCTTCTTGAAAACTACAAGCCTGAATGCTTTGATACTTGGTGTATATGTACTTTGCGTAGACCTTTCTTAGATTTGTTCATTTCATGATATCTTCAATTCTCTAATTTTGGTGAATATTTTTGTCATTTTTGGTAAAAAGTGATATTTTCGACTTCTTGTTACAAACCGCAAGTCTAATTGCTTTGATATTACATATATAGGTACTACATGTGGACCTCTCAGATTTGTTCATTTTGTAATGATGTCTTTAATTCTCTAATTTTGATGAATATTTTTGGTAAAAAGTGATATTATCGACTTCTTGTTAAAAACCGCAAGGCCAATTGCTTTGATATTACATATATAGGTACTACACGTGGACCTCTTTCAGATTTGTTAATTTCGTGGTGATATCTTTAATTATCTAATTTTGATGATTATTTTTGTCATTTTTAGTGAAAAGTGATATTTTTGAATTCTTGTTGAAAACAGAAAGTTCTGTTGCTTTGATACTATACATATTGTTCATTTTCTAATGATATCTTCTGTTTAATTGAAATGTGCATTGCTAACAGCGGAGCTATCTCAGCCGACAGGCTGCTTGTATAGTAGTTATGATTACATTTCAGATGAGAGAAATGCATCATGATAACGTAAGCAGATTCATTGGAGCTTGTATTGACAGCCCTCATATATGCATTATGATGGAGTACGCTCCAAAGGGAAGTCTGAAGGTAGGTACATGTATTGATATTTGTTATTAATTATCACCCAAGAATTAATATTTCCTTGGGGTGTGAGGGTTAAAGTTGGGTATACATTTAATATGTGTTTTTAATATCACTCCTCTATTTTTGCAATAACTTGAAACAAATCTTGTTATCAATAAAGTGGAAATGACATACATTTGTACCTGACTATATTGTTAAACAAAAGTCGTATAGGGACACATGTTATAAACTCAAAACTATTACAGCCAAAATAAGTTAAGTATGATACATGGACACCAAAGTATACATGTGCAACCAAGAGCTAATATTTTTGAGAAAAATGAAAGCATCATACTTTTGTATTTCACATGTGACATCCGCTACATGTCAGTCATATATAACCATGCATCTGTGGAACAGTATTATTATATTCAACCACAAACTCATTATATTACCGGTATATATTAATCATGAATGTTAACCTTTTCACCACCAGACTTCAGTTTCTCACCCAAATTTTTACTGCACTTTTATCTTATATGCTTCAATATTTTTCGAAAAATGAACACAATTTTGGATCCAACAGACAAAATTTGAGTAAATTATCAGCTTTTAATCCAAAAATTTGTCGATTTTTTTCCAAATCTTCTGAAGGAAAGTGCAGACTATAAATGGGCCTATTTTGTGAATTTGTAATGAAAAAGAAGACAACATAATTTCACTGTGATTGGTAATTTGAAATTGATGTTCTCCTGATAGGATATACTTGAAAATGATGACATTAAATTGGTTGACATGTTCATTATCTCACTGATATCTGACATGGTCAAGGGTATGACCTACCTCCACGCTAGTCCCATCCATTCACATGGTAACCTGAAATCCTCCAACTGTGTTGTTGACAATCGATTTGTCCTTCAAATCACCGACTATGGTTTGATGGAGTTCAAGAAAGGACATGTTGCTGAAGATCATGGAGAACATGCCTACTATAACAGTAAGTGCTTTGTGTACAATGTACAATTAATAAAACTGGTGGTGCAATATTTTAAGATCTAAGTGTATATAAATAAAGAAGATCACTGAGGTAGTTTGGAATAACGGTTCAAAACTTTGAACAGATTACATTACAATGATGACTCACATGTCACTATCACTATCTATACGTCCATCCGTCCAAATCTGGTTCTCAAACATCTTGAAATACATATACACCTCCATTCATTTCATGATCTGATCGAGATGTTCCAATGGCGACTATTTTAATGTTTAGCTACTTCATAAATGGTTAGCCAGTTACAAACTTGTTTAACCACTGCACAAACAGTTAGCCAGTTACAAACTTGTTTAGCCACTTCACAAATGGTTAACCAGTTACAAACTTGTTTAGCCACTTCACAAATGGTTAACCAGTTACAAACTTGTTTAACCACTGCACAAACAGTTAGCCAGTTACAAACTTGTTTAGCCACTTCACAAATGGTTAACCAGTTACAAACTTGTTTAGCCACTTCACAAATGGTTAACCAGTTACAAACTTGTTTAGCCACTTCACAAATGGTTAACCAGTTACAAACTTGTTTAGCCACTTCACAAATGGTTAACCAGTTACAAACTTGTTTAGCCACTTCACAAATGGTTAACCAGTTACAAACTTGTTTAGCCACTTCACAAATGGTTAACCAGTTACAAACTTGTTTAGCCACTGCACAGTTAGCCAGTTACAAACCTGCTTAGCCACTTCACAAATGGTTAACCAGTTACAAACCTGCTTAGCCACTTCACAAATGGTTAACCAGTTACAAACCTGCTTAGCCACTTCACAAATAGTTAGCCAGTTACAAACCTGCTTAGCCACTTCACAAATAGTTATCCAGTTAAAAACTTGTTTAACCACTTCACAAATGGTTAACCAGTTACAAACTTGTTTAGCCACTGCACAGTTAGCCAGTTACAAACCTGCTTAGCCACTTCACAAATGGTTAACCAGTTACAAACTTTTTCAGCCACTGTGATAACAGTTAACCTGTTACAAACTTTCTTAGCCACTTCACAAGCGGTTAAATCTCATTTTCAAATGTTGCGAAACCGAAAGTGACGCTATACTACCACGTGTGATCCCTGATGGGCAAAGCATGGAAGTAAAAATATTTATACCTCTATGGGCAGAGTGTTGTGTCATTGTATCCAATGGGTTTATTTTTGTTCCAACTCTCAGTGGTGGGAATCGAAAAGGCATCGTAACACTTGTAAGTGTTTACAAAGGTAAGTTCTTCATTTTCATTAAATGGCTGTGGTCTTCGCGCAGTGCATGTTTGAATTTCATGTAAAAAAGATTATATTTCTCAGACGTTGTGTATGTCACTATGAGTCCCATATCGAACATGACGCATATGACGACCATTGCCCTTTAAAATTTAATGTGTTGGAGATGTACATCCCGTACTGTACATAGCGATGGAAATTAGATTGCCATCTTTATATTCACATGAATAACAAGAATATTAAAATATAAACACTTGTCAAATCACGAATCCAGTTTGTAAAGAGCCTTGCATGTTATTTAATTATTGTACACAATTTATTTTAGTTATTTAACACATTATTGGAAGCGAGTAGGTCAAAATACAATAAAGTAATTTTCATTTCTGTAGAAGCAAAATACATTAAAAATTCATACTTGGGGTCATAGTTCAAGGAAATCGTTTTCCGATCTGTCATGCCTGTTGCGTGTGTCACGATTTTGGGAAAAGAATGTCCATGTGGCGATTAGAATTATACACATTGCTTATAATTATATTTTTATCTTTGATATTCTGAACATTACTTTAAGATAAATTGCATCAGGTCAGGGCCTGCTGAAGCATGGTGACTTTATAGAATCTTTGCAATGACGTTAGCCCTATGTATCGTAAAAAAAAATAGCGCAGCAGATTTGCCAGCACTTCTCACTTTATTTTATATATTGAACTAACCAGGCAGATTTAGGATTTAAAAATCGTGTACTTCACAAAGCAAATAATCATGCTTATAATATCTAACTTTAAAATTGTCACATTCTTTCTGATTTTGGTGTTAAGCAATTGCGATGTGGGATTTTAATGTACGTATTGTATTGGCAGTAGAACTTTCAAATGTCAAATAGCATTGCCTAATTTCAATTACTCCTACTAGTGTGAAATTATAAATAATTTCTATGTCATCCTATATGTACTCATTTGTGTTCAAAACTATCTTTGATTGTTCCCAATTAACTATCAACTTTTCTTTTTTTATAGACTGCAGTGGTGCTTGTAAACTTTCTTCAATTATGCGAAAGTCAAATTACACAAGTCTGAAAATTGTCTGTGGTCCTTCGACCTGTCGTAACAAATACCAATTTTAAACATGTTTTTGAATGCCGCGAATTAAAAGGATACATTTAAAAATTAGCATTCGAAAATAAAATGGGTGCGCGAATTAATAGAGACCGTGAATTAATCGAGTTATTACGGTAAATCCTGAATATTTCGGGAATTAAAAATTTGCAATATTTGATACCCTTTGATATTGATTGAAATTTAGTAATACCACTGCATTAAGACGACTTCAAACAGTTATTTTTACTACTCCATTAAATGTTATGAACTGACTGAACCTAATCTATACTGGCTTCCATAATTATTACTTGCTCTGAAAACATAACTTTGTATTTACAACTGTTTGCAGTTATTGCTGTATAAATAATAAATAAACAATACTGTGTTAATAAGAACTGGTATTTGTACAATGTGAGAATGATTCTGTTGCTTAGTGGTGATATTGAAACAAACCCAGGTCCTGTTAATATACAAAAACCTGAATTAAAAAAGGAGCCAAAGAAGATATTAAAGTTACATCAAGGTTGCATCATGGGATTCTAGACAATGGAAGTATTCAGTTATCAGTACAATACTAGATTATGGGAAATCACTTGATGATGAGTTGTTTACCCCCATACATATTCATTCACCTGAATGCAGATGTTCCATGTACTACTTTAACACTATGAGTATTTTATAATCAAATCACGAGGACTGTGTGTGACATTCATGTCTTGTTGTTTATATTTATTGTAAACTGAACATGTCACATGTCTTGATTTATTTATTAAACATCATTCTGTCACCCTCAGAAGTTAATTAAACATCATGCAATCATACTTTTTATTTACAGATCTATTGTGGCGTGCTCCTGAACATTTACGTGAGGCTGAAAATATGCACCCAATGGGGTCACAAAAAGGAGATATTTACTCATTTTCCATTATCCTACAAGAAATATATTCACGTTCAGAGCCTTATTATTTAAATGAGGAATCTCACAGTGGTAAGTATAGGCTGGTATGATTTTCCATTTTTGCCAACCCTCATGCACAGATCAGCATTAGCTCATGATCTGTTATTTAATTAACCAAAACATATCCATGTATATTTAATAACAACTGTGGAGAACAACATCGTTATTGTTTCTTTGAGTGCCAATGACTGGTTCTTGCCAACTACTGTAAGGACCATGCACATGTGTACTTGTAAAACAAAACTAGTGCAACCTGAACAGAGAGTTTGTAGTTATTTTTAGTCCCCATTTGAACAAAGTTTGGGACTTATAATTTGGTCTCCATCCGTCCGGACGTCCAGGGTCATATTTCAGAACCCTGTGAACCAAATCTGTTCATTCTGTGCATGTGCCTAGTACTTTATCTGGGACATATGCACATGCAGTGGTTTACTGATTCAATGCAAAATGGCTGACTGGCAGCCATTTTGTTTTTTGAAAATGTGGTATCTTGTGCATGCTTTGTCAGTTTTTGTTGAAATTTGGTACATACACTTGTACATGTTAGGATACATGTCTATTACGATTTGTTTCCTGATTGAATCAAAGATGGCCGACTGGCAGCCATTTTTTTTTTTTTTTAATGTTGTACCTTATGCATGCTTTGTCAGTTTTTGTTTAAGTTTGGTACATACCGGTACATTATACATGTTAGGATACAGGTCTATAACGATTAATTTCGCGATCGAATCAAAGATGACTGACTGGCAACCATTTTGTTTTTTGGAAATGTGGTATCTTGTGTATGCTTTGTCAGTTTATGTTCATAAACTTTTTCACTTCATAGAAATTATACAAAAGGTTATATCATTGACGGAACCCCCGATGCGACCTGATCTGTCCGAGGTAAATGAAACTGCACCAGAATGTGTTTTAAAGACAATAAGAGCTTGTTGGAGTGAAGACCCATTTGATAGACCATCTTTCCGATCCATAAAGACTTTGTTGGGACCTTTGCAAAGAGGACAGTAAGTAATACAGCTTTACCAATTACTCAATGTTTTAGTAACCAATATGAAATAAATCATCATCAACAGTCTTAAATTTCATGTATATAACAGCTTTTGATGAAGGGCAGGGGTTCTGTGGTCAATCTGTTGCAGCTACAACTACCTATCGCATATATGCTTTGCTCCTTTTCTTGGAATACTTACAAAGGATTTACTTTCTGTGATTTTTAGTTCTTTTGCTATTTTGTTAGATTTTTTAAAAACAGCAACAACATTAAATCTGTGGATTTTGTGCAGCACCACTTTCTAAAACATTCAGTTAATAGATCCTATTTTCATGAAATGTTTTTCATTTTGTTTTAACGAATTCAGTTCTGGGGCCATAATTCTGATACAGCTGTATGTCTTGACCAATAATGTGTCCATATATTTGTATGATGATCCAATTCAAGATGACCAAATAGTATCATTTTGATGTTTAAAAAAATTACCAAAATTAAGCATTTCTGCCATTCAGAAGCCAGATCAATCTCCATCATATATGAATAGATTTTGGTCAAACTTTGTACATACATTGAACATTATGGAATCTTGATGAATGTCATTTAGTTTTTTATCAGATTCAAAATGGCCAACTGTCAGCCTTTTTGATTTAACAAATGCAGTTCTGAATTCATATCTGAGACATGTTCTGACCATTCGTATTAAAACTAAATTACGATAAACAAAACTTTACTTCTTAAACTTGATAAATAACAGGGACTATGTAATGCAATTACTTATTGTAGGAAGCGTAACATTATGGACAATATGATTGCCATCATGGAGAGATACACCAATAATCTGGAAGATTTGGTTGATGAACGAACTGAGGATGTTAAGAAAGAAAAGAAGAAGATTGAAACTTTGCTTCATCGTATGTTGCCACCGTGAGTATTGACTAAACCTCACATTGTCACCTGACTGAAAATATCGCATTAAAGGTCAAATTATGCAATTGAAACTGAAAATGTTAAAGATTTTAAAATTATTTTGCAACAAATATAGGAATTTAGGAAATAAAAACACCATGTGATATGTATTTTACAACTATTACAGTAAATAAATAATGGCGTGTTTTAGAGTCTTTTCAACAAACTCTGATAAAGTTTGAAAGTTTGAAATTTTGATTTATGTTCTGATAAGGTTTGAAATTTTGATTTACGTTCTGACAAAGTTTGAAATTTTGATTTACGTTCTGGTAAAGTTTGAAATTTTGATTTATGTTCTGATAGTTTGAAATTTTGATTTGTGTTCTGATAAAGTTTGAAACTTTGATTTATATTCTGCTAAAGTTTGAAACTTTGATTTATGTTCTGATAAAGTTTGAAATTTTGATTTATGCTCTGATAAAGTTTGAAATTTTGATTTATGCTCTGATAAAGTTTGAAATTTTGATTTATGTTCTGATAAAGTTTGAAATTTGAATTTATTTTAACCCTCAAGTCACCTCGAGTTCAATGTTTGTTCATACATTATAATAGTTCTACATAATAGTTATGTAATAGGTACCGACATTGATGTTTGACCCAAATTATTGAAACAGGTTGAAACAGAGTATAGTATGTAGGGTTCTATGTGTGAACTTTTTATTTTCATATTCACTCTATATTCGTTTTTGTTATTACCATTCATTAGCCTTCGCAGACGAAGTCTGCCGAAGACTTATAGATTGGGTTCTGTCCGTCCGTCTGTCTGTCTTTTACCTCATATAACTTTGATATGCTCTGTCAAATGTTTTTCCAAGTTGGTGCATATGTAATCTCAATGCCATACATATGCACGCCAAGTATTTTTTTGATTCGCCAAAGTTTCACTGTGTTTTTCTGTGATTTTCAACATTTTACTAGTAAAAATGCTGAAATTTGCTGGAAAAATCTGAGTTTTAACGACCTCTCGCAAGAGAACTGGCATACCGTATTGCGCATGCGCCAGTCTAACCGCTGAGGAAATCGGCCTCGTTTAGTTTGAGGATATTGTATTCCGGGACTGTATCGTTCTTTGCACAAGGCTTATATAGATTAAATTCTATCTCAAAGGTAAGAACTTTGATTTATCCTTTTGTGTCCTGACTTTAGTGAGAAACTAGCGATCGCACAGTGTCACACTTTGCCAGAAAAACAGTCCTGCTATTAGTTCAAGAACTGGTTATGAAACGTGTAAATCGAAAGTTTGTCTCGTCATTTAGGAGGCTTGGGAATAACGTTTGGCATATAAAATACTGAAATAATAAAAACGTAAAAGTTTAGAACACGCTGATCGTGATTCTGTTATGCACGATTGCTATTTCTGGTGTTCATTGGCAACTGCTAGCAGATTGAAACTTGGTTTCGTGACGACATATTAGACTAGAATTATAGTCAATTTCGGCCAACCGTGACTGCTTGAAAGCAATGATGAAAATGAAAAGTACTGTAATTCAATATCAATGAATCTATCATCACTTTTAAATTACCTTTGAAGTAAATATGATACCCGAGTGCGTTACTACACTCGTGACCGGGACCTCCATGCTCCATGCGGTGTTGAAGTTTATTGGTAAATCGAACCTCTGTCAACAGAGACACATTTTCCCAATCAGCTATTTATTTCGGTACTGAAGTCAGGGTGGCAATTTCAATGTTTAGCTACCATAATTTATCCCCATTATGAGCAGGAAAATAAATTACGGACCCCGATTGAGATGGATTTAACGGCGGCCATGTATTTTATTGTTGACATTATGGATTAAGGGATATGTGAAACAATATTAGGGAGGGGGTCAAATTCACGTAATCCTCAATTTTAATGATGTTGGCTTAATACTCATCATTTTTTTTCAAAACTCCGGATATTATTTTATATATTATTTTAATACAACTACAATATGTTAATTAGTATGCAAATTAGCAGCCAATCTGAGACAATTTTCTAGAATGAACACTGCAATCCAGTTTAAAGGAAATTTGACATACACTTAGGTTACATGATCACTACCTCTGCTGATTAGTTTTTTATGCACTTCTATCTGCTTTTATATTAAATGTATTATTTTTTTGCATTTTTCTCAATAGTATTTTTTAATTTCTTTTGATAGCTTGGCATCCATTTGGTTCAGCTCAAGTGAAATTTTCGGCATATCCCTGGTAAGATTTTAATGACATTGAAAACACAAGTACTCTGGCTTTTTGCACATTCTTAATATTTTATTTTTGCAGAATCCCGTGAATATTAATTTGACAACTTTGTAGAGTGGAAACAGACTGGTGAATTAGTTCATCCTAGACTTTGGTAGAACATGTTTAAAATAGTACAGTGTGAACTGCAATTTCTTTCTGGCTGGTATAAATTTATTAAGTAATATTTTTTCGTACTAAAAAGACTCAAATATCTTTTTTAATTAAATCTAACAGCCAACGGGAGCACATATTTTATAACCT